GCTGCCTTCGGAGGAGAGTCTGCAGGGGGAGGCCGACCAGCCAGCGATGCGGCTTCCCTCGGGCTGCCTCTTTTCAGGAGGCGTGGCTGCGTTTGTCTGGAAGAGCCGCTGCGGCCAACTGGAACTCCGACATCGCGCCGCCGGGCGACTGGGGGCGAAGGGGTGGAGCTAAACCTGCACTCCTGCCAGGGCCGGACAAAGCCTGCCTGCCTGACCTCCTGCCCCACTCCCCTCGGTTTCTTTCCTCGCTCAACAGAGTTGATCCTTCAGACTTCGGATGCTGCATCCCCGGGCAAAGTTAGATATTTATGTTTGTAAGGATCGATGTACAGTATAATCATTTAATATCATTGGGATTCAATGGCTCTTTGTTGTATTTTCTTAAAATGTTACATTAAAACTAAACTTTAATTTATAGAACAAGAATCATTTCTCCAAACTGTGCTTCCAAAAATTAATATTCTCCCCGTTACGAATTATGGGGCGCGCCTTTCGTTAGAGAAGAATTTTCCTTGCCTTCTTAAATTTCTGTCCATTTATCTTCGGAGGCTGATGCCCAATCCTCTTTGATCTCGTTCTCCAGGATTTAAATCCTTCCCTTCAAATGATCTGGATAACCTGGATTCCGAAGGATCTGGGAGAAAGGGATTTCGAGTGGGCACCCACTTTCCCACTCCGATTCAGGGTTAAGTAGCAAGAGTTGCTGAACGTTAAAAACTCTTCCCTTCCCCAACCGTCCACGTTTACTCTGGGACAGACCAGAGGCTCCCAGCAGCCCCGGAGTAAAATCCAACGGACAAACAATACAAAAGAGGCAGGAATATTTGGTTTCTTTTTTTTTTTTTTAAGTCTGATTACTTCATCCTGAATACAGCGAAATGTTTTGCACTAGCGTGCGGTTGACAAGAATTAGAACCTCGGTCCTAATTGGGTATAATTATTACACAACCTTCCTGAAAGATGTTTAAAATCTACAGCCATATTATTGTTTTCTTCTCATATAATGTTTTAGGCTGGCTGCCCGCATCTATGTGTCCTGCACTGACATTTTGCAAAGCTTTACTCTCCCCTCCTTTGCGAAACCTATTAGCAGTTATTTACATATCAGTGAATGAATGTAATTTACTTAGATTTGAGACAAGGATTTCTGGAACAATGCATGCGTATGTATTGTGGGGGAAGGGGAGATTTTGGAAGAAATGGACCTTGATCTCCCATTCTGCAGCCTCTAACATGATGCTTATAAACTCACCTCCCAAGTCAGGCAGTTCAAGCAGGTTATTGGTTAGAAACCCTGTTGGAAGGGAAAGAGGTCGGGAAAGAGTTAAGCCTGAAACGGCCCCTTAGCCAATCCCCGCGATTGAAGGTTTTAGAGGAATGGGATATAGAACCTACAGCAATGGCTCCGCCCCAGATTTGTAGAAGGGGTCCCGGTTTCTTTGCAGGCACCAAGCCTAGCAGAAGGTTCAGGGGTAAGGCGCGTAGAAAGCCGCAGATTTATCCATGTTTACTTACGAATTCCACTGGGCTTTCCTTACGTCACACCCAAACTGATCGGGGCCGGCTGTTGCGCTCTCGCAAGTCAAACGACTCTGAAGCCACGTATCAGCCGGCTTGGAACTTAACCGGAACGCACAGCTCGCTCGCCCGCCCACTCGACGAGGCGCTTTCGCCAATCGCCTCCCCCCCGCGAACTTTCGAGGAAGAAAGAGCAGCGGCGACGAAAGCGGCGCAACGGGCGAGTCCACCTGTCACTGGGAAGGAGGAAGAAGTGGGGCGGGAGCAAGGCAAGCGAGGTGAGAAAGGGCGGAGCATTGGCGCCCGCGGGAGAGTCTCCCAAGAGGCGGGGAAGGCGAGCGGGCGAAAGAGCCGCCAGCCAACTTGCGCTTGAGCTCTGGCCACTTCAGCGCCAAGGGACCCTTTTCTGGGAAAGCGCCACCGCGTTTTGCCAAGCATGGGCCCGGCGCAAGTCCGGCGGACCTACCGGCTGCTGTGGAGGGACTGCTGCTCGCGCCCTCCGCGTGCCATGAACGGCTACGGCTCCCGTCCCTGTACATGGGTGGCCCGGTGGGTCAGCCGGCCCGGGCGTCCCTGCAGCGGACGCCCAAGTGCGCGCGCTGCCGCCACTACGGCGTACTGTCCTGGCTGAAGGGCCATAAGCGCTACTGCTTTAAGCGCATCTTGACCATAGAGCGGCAGCACGTCATGGCCACCCAGGTGGCGCTGCGCCGCTAGCAGGCCGACGTGTGCTCCCCGACACACAGAATTCCACATAGAATCAATACAGGCAGCCTAGCTGAACTAGTTACTTACTACTTGCTTCTGTAAGCTTTTGGATTTCAGCACATATTCACAGTTCATTGCTGAGAGTCCATCTGAAGAGAGTTCATCTGGGGCTCCTTCCTGCAACTGAAAGGCAAGCTGTCTTTGCTCTTCTCTCTCTCACTACACTCACTTTTACAGAATGTGCAAGATAATTGAAAGGCAACCTCTTTGGGGAGACTGATTGTTGCTCTGCCCAATCAAGGGAAATGCTCCATTTCAGGTGTCCTCAGTTTAGTCAGTAGATTAGTAATTACCCAGCGGCTAAACCTATCTTCCTTAATGACCCTTGGTGGAATGACTAAAGAAGCAGTCTGGTTTTCACCAGCTGTGCGATTGTATACATGAGATTACATAGGAGAGGTAAAGCTGAATTCCATTTTATCTGATGCTTTAGGGGGCCCTGTTGTGACAAAATTAGGAGTTTTATTGCATCAACTATTTTTTCCATGGGGCTCAAGAAAGAGCCTTTCCCCAACATCTTGTGAAATAAAATGTTGAAAGAGAGTGAATGACTCAGTTACATATTGGACTCCATTCCAGAAAAGGATTTGAATCAGGTCTTACCAGTTCTAGATCAGTGAACAAACATCATGTTATCTCACATTGTCATCTGTGGGATAGTCCTTAATCTCCCTGCCAAATGGCATGACAAATAACTCTGTATTGTTAGATCAGATTCCTGAAGATGCTTTCTCTTCTTCAGAATGTGCAAATTATTTATATTTACTGAAAGATAAAATA